ATGAAGTCAACATATGTACTAATGTGCTGGACACAATTGATGTATGTACGGATTGTGATGAGTTGTATGAGCCCCTAATAAAATGATTATTAATTTAAAAAATACAAAAAAAGTATACTGGTCCAAAAAAAAAATAAGCAAGGATGTCAAGACGTCATCTCACAACTTTGGACATCATCTCAGGAGAGACCAGTCCCTGCAAAAGGACATGGCCCTTGGTAAGGTGAAGGGGCAGTGACAAAGAGGAAGACCCTGGACAATATGGCTTGATGCTATGGCTGCAACAATTGACTCAACCCTTGGGAGAACTGTGAGGAAGATGCAGGACTGGGAAGTGTTGCATTCTGTCATACTTGGAGTTACCATGGATCTGAACCAACTTGATGGGACCATTCATGTAAATAAAAAAATTAACTTTTTCAAACAAAATCTGTGGAACAAATTTTTGTATGATGAATTTTTTTCTTATTTACTACACAATATGAGACACAAGAAATAAGCCAAGATTCAAAGAATAAGTTACCCACCAACTAGGTATATGGCTTGAAACAAGCTACACTTTACCTTGCAATTGAATTTTTGCATCAACAAAATTGCACTTAACCAGTATAATCTATACATTATCTTCCTGTTTTTTAATGTCTATGATTCACCTGTTTCTAAAAAGTTTTGTTTATGGAAATGAAGAACAATACTTAAGCAAATGTGGTTATTTTCAGTTTGATGAGCATGTGCATTTAGATCGAGTCTATTTTTGCTATTCTTCTTTTATGTTTGAAATATTTATTTTTGGGGGGTGGGGGCGGGGGCAGGTGGTTTCCAGGGAAAACCTACTAAATAAATTCTAAAAGATCGATAACATTTGTTTGAAATATTTCTTAATTAAAATTTTAAAAATAAAAATTTATTTCAAACTTTCTAAAAGGGTTAAATTATTAAGCTATGTAAAACTAAATGAAAAAACAAAACAAAAACCCATTGCCATCCATTCTATCCTGACTCCTGGTGACCCTAGAGGATAGAGTAAAGCTGCCCCTAGGGCTCCCAGGGCTACAGCCTTTACAAAGAGAAGCTATGGTAGCACAGTGGTTAAAGTACTTGGTTGCCAACTGGTTCGAGCCCAGTAGGTGCCTCATAGGAGAAAGGTGTATGCTTCTGTAATGATTTATAGCCTTGGAAACACAGCTCCACTCTCACTTGGAGGGGCACTGAGTGTCAAAATCTACTTCAGGGCACTGGGTCATTATTTATTTGTTTGTTTCAGGAATCTTTATGGAAGCAGACTGCTACATCTTTTTCAGTAGAGAAACTGTTGGGTTCAAACTACCAACCTTTTGGTAGTAGCCTGGCACTCCCAGGGCTTCCTATAAATCCATATAAGATAGAAAATAAGTCTGTTAAAAAAAACAAGTTCATACACATGGGAGAAGCACACCAGCCTGTGTGGTCACGAGATGTCGACTGGATCAGGTATCACCAGGCATCAGAAGACCCTAAACAAACAATCATATTGATGCAAATGAGGGCGTTCAGAGTGGAGACCCAAAGCCCATCTGTAGACAATTGAACATCCTTTCACAGAAGGGTCACAAAGAAGCAACAAGCCAGCCAGGGTGCAATATAGCACCAACGAAACACACATACTCCACTAGTCCTCTATTGCTTCCTCCTCTGCATTATAATGACCCCAGTTCTATCTTACAAACCCAGCTAGACAGAAGCATGTACATTGGTACAGATAAGGGCTCTCAACACACGAGGACAGACAATAATGGGAGTAGAGGTAACATGAAGGTAGGGGGAAGGTGGGGGGAGAAAGGAGAAACAGATTGCTATGATCATTGTATAACTCCTGCCCCCACCCCACCCCCAGAGGGATGAACAACAGAAATGTGGGTGAAGGGAGAGACAGTGGATGATATAAGATATAAAAATGATAATATTTTATAATTTATCAAGGATTCAATAGGGTAGGGGGATGGAGGAGGGAGGGGAAAAAAGAGGAGCTGATACCAAGGGCTCAAGTAGGAAGAAAATGTTTCGAAAATGATGATGGCAACATGTACAAATGTGTTTGATACAGTTGATGTATGGATTGTTATGAGCTGTGAGAACCTCCAATAAAATGATTTATTAAAAAAAGTTCAAATAAAATAATGAAAGTATCTCATATGTTGAATTGTGAGTATTTACTATCAATAGTAAGAAATGGTATTTTTTAAATGTTTACCATCTGAATAAATGTTAATCTAAAAACCAGCTACATATGAAATTATAAAATATTGGATACTTTTTTTGTCTGGCATTTGCTTATACAGTTTAAAATGAACTTTTGTAAGATAAGTTCTTAACTAATGTGTTCATTTGTTTAGTATAGTAGAAATTTTATGTTCATAAAAATAGAAGAAAATATGGTAAAATGAGATATAAGTATGTCTATATATATAATAATAGCTCTGGATTCATTCAGTTGTTTTAACTGCATTAAAACTAAGTCAAGAATATCTCATTTTGTTTCTTTCTTCTTTTCAAATTCCTTCTGAAATTAAAGGAGCATATACCACTGTGCTGTGCATATGTTTGTGTATATGACATTCATCTATCCTAAATCTGCCCCAGATTACATAGGCATAATGGTTAACAGTCTTTAATGATATTAGCACTTTTTAGTGTATAAACTAACATGTTATCACCTGATTAATCTTTTAAAATGTAATTTTCACAAGGCCTTATATAATGTGTTTATAAATCTTAAAAGATAAGACTAAATATATCAGTAGTTTTTGTCTTGATTCTTCTTTTTAAAGGCTTTGGAGCGAGTTGCAGTTGGCCACGGGGTAAGTAAGAGTGTTTACTGTAATGCAACTGATGAACTCAGTAGTTTTTATTTTAAACATCCTTCATATTTAACCCGCTGATGAACTTAAATCTTGATAGGCCTTAACAAATATCACCTTTTCCTGTCAACTCTGCATATTCAAATTTACACACTTTCTGTAAATGTACTTTAAAAGAGAACTGACTTGGCAGAAAAAGTAAATTGAAATCTAGGCAAACGTCCACATTATATACATTATAGTCTTAAACTAACTTTTCAATTCTGCTTTTATACTAAAAACCACATCTGTACATATTTCTAAAGAATGCTGTTGCTGGACGTCAAGGTCTTATAAGCAGAGTTGTTTAGCTGGAGTCCAGAACAGACATTTAATGTGGTCATTTGATGACTCTTTTTCCTTTACTGCCTGATTAGTCATTAATGGTAACCATCAAATGGGTTACACACACTAACAGAAATAAAATGTATCCCCAAAATATTCATGTAATTTCCTTATTCTGTGCCTTATGACTTCATGATGCATATTATGATTTTTTTAAAGTTTGTTTTCTCTAAAAGTTTCATCAGGCATTTCCTGCTGGACTTATGTTCTAGAAAGCCCTCTTGTTCCTTTTCAGGGAACGTTAATAGATGATTTTATTTTAGCAATAATATTAATAACAAGCAACATTTACTCTGGACTAGGTGCTGTGCTAAACAGTTTGCATGTTTTATTTTTTAATGCATTCAGGGTATCTATCTAAAAAGAGATTTAAAAATTAATTCATTTGAGGAATAGTTTAAACAATAAACTTATTGTTTAAGTGTATGTTTTTAAGTTAGACTCCTGGTTTGAATCTTGTTTTTACTACTTATCAGTTAAATTAGCTTGAACACATGCCATAATTTCACAGCATCTCAATATTTTTTAGCCTGTGAAATAGGAATAGAAATAATAATAGTACTTCTGAATTGGATTGTGGGGATTAAGTGCAGAAATGCATGTAATGTGCTTAAAACACTGTAGCATACGTATAGTAAATGTTCACTAGCATCAACTGTTGCTGTTAATATTAATAATTTTGGTAATGAAATCAATAGCTAGAAACCTCACGAGATGTGAAGTACAATGCAAAGGTTGTATCAGTTATTAAGGTACTAACATACATACTACTATGGAATAGATCTGTTATTATCCTGTCAGACACATGGTGCAACCAAAGGTAGCCAGTGCTAGGATTTCCATCTATATACGACTGGATCCCAAGCTATTTACATTATGAAAGGGCATCAAAAAAGTTTGTGGAAAAACTCTTTTTTTTTTTAATCTATTTTTCCATGAACTTTTTGAAGCTCCCTTGAACTACATATCAACTTAGTGTTTACCTTTGAAACTGAAGAGACTATGGTGTCGCACTGGTAAGTGTATGTGGTTGCCAAAAAAAAAGGTCAGCGTGTCAAGCTTGCCAGCGGCTTCAGATGGAGGAGATTGCTTCGAGAAAGCAAGCCTTGGAACCTGACCAGGCAGTTCTATCCAGACTCTATCCTGTCTCCGTGAGAGAAGTGACTTACCAGTGGGTTTGATTGGTTGAGGAAAGTGAAGCAAAAATGAAGCTTTGTCATAGTACTTCCCCACTGCATCTCTGTAGCATTTTTCAGTATGCCAAGTATTTGGGTATACTTATAATCATCAGACACAATGGAAATTTAATATGTTCTGCTGTCGTTGATGTTAGTTGCCCTCAAATTGAGCAAAATACTGCCTGGTCCTGCACCATCCACACATTCCTTCATGTTTGAGCTTATTGTTGTCGGGACTAGAATAATGCATCTCACTGAGAGTATGCCTCTTTTCCGCTGACTGTCCACTTTACTAAATGTGGCGTAGTCTAGGGACTCGTACCTCCTGATAACATGAAGAAAATAGGTGAGACAAACTCTTGCCATCCTTGTATGCAAGAAGCATTCTGGCTGTACTCCTTCCAAGACAGATTTATTCATTCTTCTGCCAATCAGTGATATATTTAATATTTTTCACCAGCACCATAATTCAAATTCGATTCTTTTTTGGTCTTCTTTACTCGTGTTGAGCATTAACTACGAACATTTGAGGCAATTGAAAATACCATGAGTTGGGGTAAGTGCACCTTAATGCTCAAAGTAACATGTTTGCTCTTCAACAGGTCTTTTCCAGCGAGGTTATCCATCCAGTGTGATACATACATCCTTTGATTTCTTGACCACTGTTTTCTTGAGCATTGATTGGGGATTCAAGTAACATGAAATCCTTGACAACTTGTCTTTTGTTTATCATGATGTTGCTTATTAGTCCATTTGTAAGGGTTTTTGCTTACTCTATAGTAAAGTACAATCCATACTAAACTCTGTCATCGTTGGACTTCATCAGCACGTGTTGCAAGAGCCCTTCACTTTCAGTAAGCAGGGTTGTGTCATCAGTTACTGAGTCTTCTAATCCTGGTGCCACCTTCTTCTTCTTCTT